CCCAGCGCCTAAATTGCAGCAAGCAGATGTCGATGAGTGGAGCCTTCTCGACGGCCCACTTGCTGTATTACAGATCCGCCCAGATGGCTCCATGTATGCTTTGAGACTTGATCATCAATGTTCTTGATTTCTATTCTGGTGGTGCCTACGTATCAGAAGTTTGCATGCTATCCAAATGCTCCATTTGAGCATCTCAACCATGTTGTTGTACGCTGGTCCCGCCCAAGCATGACTTTCTCTCTCGGCTTTATTATCTAGCATGCCTGGCGCCATAAAAACAACGAGAAGTCCTTGCCAACGCCAACAACATTGCCGATTCCCCATCAGTTCACAAGTACATGCTCTCCAGTCACAGCAAATTGGGCCATATACATGCAACGACCTGCTGGGCAGTTCCCATGCAGGACCATTAGACCACCCTGCTGAACGCTGGTCGCACCACCCGGCGACGTCAGACTATAATAACCAGTGCGGAACAGCGAGCCCGATGGCCTCACATACGGTCCGGTGATTGAGTTCGATGTGGCATATTTGACGTCGTAAGCCGGGGATGTAAAGCAGTGGCTACTGAAGAACAAGACGTACGACCCATCCGCGGCCCTGATCAGGTTCGGCGCCTCGACCAGCGGCCCGTCCTCGTCGATGCGGTCCAGGAGCTCGACCGCGCTGCCGATGCGCGTGGTGCCGTCCCTGGCGACCTCCTGCAGCATCAGTGGTGTCGGCTGTTTAGGCTCGATCCCATTATTGCAGTCTCCCCCCTTCCCGATCGAGTTGCCGTCCACCTTGTACACGACATACCGTCTTCCAGTGGCCTCGTCCAGGAAGCCGGAAGGGTCGATCGAACCGCCCCGCGCGATGTCACAGATCATCGGATCGTCGTCGGCCGTCCACGGGCCTGTGATCCTGTCCGCCGTGGCCACCCCGATGCAGTGATGTTCCGTGTTGCTAGCAAGCTGGCCTGAATAGTACATTACGTAGGTCCCGTCCGCGACCATCCGTACGTCAGGTGCCCAGGTGTTCTGCCCGGTCGTCCATGCTCCCGGTTCGGGAAGGAGGTCGACGTCGAGGTAACTCCATGGGCCCCCCGGGGTTGGCGCTCTGGCTACCTGGACCTGCTTGTTCCCACTCGCCGTGGCGAAGGCATACCAGCCATCTTCACCTTCGAGTATAGATGGGTCCGGGAAGTCTCGATCTATCGCTACCGTTATAGGGGTAGATGTGTCGAGCGCGAAGAGCTGTCCGAACTTTGGTGCTGCTTGGCCACCCTGTACCAGGAGCAGACCGGCACTCAGTGCTATTTCCCATTGGGGTTTCATGGCTGTTGCAAGAGTTGTTGGGCGGAGCAGGTGATTTGAGTGCCATCAATCAAGGGGTAGACGAAGAAGGCGAGTGGCCGAGACAAGATATGATAGGTTGGGTAGGATTCGGATGATTGTGAAGCTAGAGGTCTCAAGTCCGAGTTGGTGAGAAAGAACTCACGAACTTGAGAAGACTTTCGGGTGGGTAGACCTTTACCTTCTCCTTTTTGTATAAATATCCGTGGCATCATGCAAGAACAACCGTCACAGGTCGCAGAAGGAGCAATTACTCCTCTACGGTTCATGCATCTTGGGAGCACGGAAATTGTTGTGCGCATAACATCTCAACCCTTGCAACCTCGTAGCTCTCTCCGCTGATCAGCCTGCATTTCCTTACATATGAGCTGCGACTGTCATCTAAATCTATTTAGCTCTCAGCATTGATCCTGTCCATTCCTGATGACCATACCATGCGAAGCTAGCATATGTGGAAGCTGGAATGGCCCCAAATGGAGGTGACCATCCATCAAGAACGTTTCAATATTGCCTGGATTTTTGGATATCATGATGAAGTATGTAGTGGTGTCAAGTATCATGTGCCAGGAGTCTCACACTCCCTGTCCAATCTCGAAACAAGACGGTCTGATGCTGTGCACTACCTAGGTACTCCTTCATGTCTTGCTATGGTCTGTATCTTCGATTTCCGAGTTGACTGGTTGGGCTAAATCTCAAGAATACCCATGCCAGGCTTGCGGCTCAGCAAGGAGTCGTCTTGGGACCAATCATGAACAAGTGATCGATCGGTCGAGCCTCATGAAATATCCCCCACGTGTATGTGACGTCGCAAACTCGATAATTTGTATGTAGTCCGTACAAATACACCAAGGAACCGTAGTAATGTAGCCCCTCGGCCCAAACTGAGATGCCAGAAGCCCATATGCGCATCGGATGTGTGCCTTACTACTCAGTTGATCTCGTGGGGTCGAACTTGTCGCAGATTGTGCCCGAGGCACATTCTGGTTGGCAAACCTGAGTCTTGCCTGCTTCTCACCAAGACAGCGGCTACAACATCAATTGGCGGGTCTGCGAAACGCGGAAGGTCTAGGTGCCGTCCAAATATTGACTGCCACCATATACGACTGTACAACTTCGGGTGGTCTTTCGAATGCCGATGGTAGAAGTCGCGTTCCCTCAATGCCGATCCGTAGACTCTGTTCTGGCTGGCTGCCTTCACCCATCTTGATAGTCTGACACAAGGACGGACCGCGACCCACGTTAGCTGCAACGTAGTTGAAACAGTCTGCTCCTCATCAGTAGAATAGTAACACGCAACAGCCCAAAATCTTGGAACGCACCATCGGTCCACCGACTTCCAGGTCATAGGTCGGGCATAATCACACTTGCACCGAGTCGATGCTGCAAGTCAAAAATCCTTTGGCACATTGCCATAAACGCGGCCTCCCTAACTACTTATCCAGCGAAAGGAAACAAAAGTCCAGGCAGCTATCAGATCCTTCCTCCTGAACGCCGTTTTTTTAAAACCTCCCGATGATACTACAGCATTAACGCCAAGCAGACACAGACATGAACTAGCTCCAGCCACGATGATGGTATGATGATATCGAGACAGGGCTTTCATGAGACTGAACAGACAGCCATTTCTTTTAGTCGCTATCCTCGTCGTCGTCCTTGCCACCCTTCGCCGCCTTCTTAGCCTTCTTCTCGGCCTTCCTTCGCTTGCGCTCCGCCTTCTCCTCGGCGGACTCTCCATCGTGCTTCTTCCTCTTCTTGTCCTTGCTCTCCTCCTTGGTCTCCTCCTTGGGAGCCTCAGCGGCGATAGCAGCGGGCGCAACAGCCTTGGGCAGCTCAGCAGATGCAGCCTCAGTGGCCTTCTCGGGAGCAGCCTGGCCGTTGCCGCTGTAGTCGGTGTACGAGTCTGTCCACTTGGCGGGGGTGGCCTCGTTGGGCCTTCCGTACTTGTCAAGCTTGCCATCGGCCTTCAGCTTCTTCTTCTCTGCGGCCGTAGGGCCGAGACCCCACCTGCGGGGGTACAGGTCACGCTCCATGATGCAACGCTTGACCTTGGCGACAACGCCGTGGTCGCAGGTCGTCATCTCGACGGCGGACATCATAGCGATACCAATGGCGATGGCCTCGCCCTTGGTGGTGATCAAGACAACCTCCTCGTGTTGCTCAATGTTGGACTCGTATCGCAGAAGACCAGGCAGCATCAACTTCGCACCATAGGTGATGGCGTTCACGGCGCTGTCCTTGACGACGAGTCGCTTGTAGCCGACGAGCAAGGTCTCGAGGGGCTGGATAACCTTCCTCAGGTATGTCTCGTCGCGGTTGTTGTCTGTCACCGCCAAGTCAGTCTCAAGCTTAGCACCCACATGTAGAGGGGGGGAACTTACCGTATTGCCACTGGGCATCCAGAACATCGTGCAGAGTAACGAGGTCCTTGTTCTCGTCCATGGCACCAGATCGCACACGACGCAGCTCCTGCATGTGTGCTCCCACGCCGAGCAGGAGTCCCAAGTGAACACAGAGTGTTCGGATGTAGGTGCCTGCCTCGCAGCTGACCCAGAAGACACCGAGGTGACGGTCGTTGTCGAACTCAATAAGCTTCGACTCGTAGATAGTTCGGATACGGAGCTGTCGCTTGACGGCAGAGATCAAAGGAGGTCGCTGGAACAGGGAACCGGTAAGGAGCTCGAGGACGCGAGCGAACTCGGTCTTGCCGCCAGGCACCTTGTCGTGGAAGCGCACAACAGCCACATATTCCTTTCCGGCGCCTTGCTGGGACTTGACGAGCCTGGTGGCACGGTCGATACAGACGATAAGACATCCGGTGACCTTGGGGTCGAGGGTACCACTGTGGCCGGTCTTCTCTGTTCGGAGCATGCGCTTCACCCAAGCGACAACTTCGTGGGAGGAGGGGTTGGAGGGCTTGTCGAGCTACAGAGGATTCAGGTCAGTATGGTGCAGGGATATCGGCGAAGAATCGTTCTCACGTTGATAACACCGGAAGAGACTGTGATAAGTTAGCCAATGCGTCAGGGAGAACGTGGGAAAGGTGGAGGCCGTATCACATACCGTAGCTCTTGATGTCACGCATGTGAGGCTTGCAGCCATGAGGAATGGGAGTGAAGTGGCCCGTTCTCACGAGCACTAGGATCCAGTCAGTATCTCTTGCCTATCGAAAATCCAGAACTTGGTAGAAGAGGCCATGCGTACGCTTGTCGTAGTTCTTCAGCAGCAGCGGCCAGTCGCTGGTGTCAGTGGCTGGCTTTGAAGCCTGAGGCTTGATGACATGTTCTTCCTCTTGGGCCTTTACGACCGCGTGCTTGTCCGCCATCCTGATTATCCGAGAAACAGGCACGAAACAAGGCAAGAGAGTTGATCCGGTAGTATCGGTGGAAGGCGCGAGTAGTCGAGAGTCCTCCTACACAGATAGACAGTGGCCGGTATAATTTGTGAGGGCAGGTGCAAATAGTTCTGCTGGCGTGAAGCTTTTCACTTGCCCAAATTTTTTGAGAGGCTTGTGGGGCTGCATCAATTCGGTGCACCGTGCACTGTACACTATCTAGGTACCCAGGTACACACTAAGCTGGATCTGGCAGCACTCCAAGTCGAGTCAGCCCAGCCGTGCCGGTTGGTCACATGGTATGAAGTCTGAACAGTTTCAAAATTCTCAACAATGGCTCAATGGTCTAGTCGTATGATTCCTGCTTTGGGTTCTACTACTCTGCAGGAGGCCCCGGGTTCAAATCCCGGTTGAGCCCGTTTCCTTTTGTCGATGGATGAAAGTTCTCTTTTTTGCTCATCTTTTGATCCTGCATGAGCATCTTCCAGCTGCTGAGGCGGCGGTGGTGAAGCCAACAATTGGGTATCAGGTGTAGGGGTAAGATCCGTGGCATAATGTTTATTGTACTGAACTATTCTGAGAACTATTCTGATTTTGTTGATCATCGCGATATCTTAGCTTTGTTGTCGACTGATCCAGGTCCAACGGTTTCATCGTGATAGTACTCATTCGAAGATCAGATTGATAAAGCGATGTACCTCCTTGCAGTCACGGTTGACATGAATTTGGTAGAGCATTGTTTGTACTGAGCTGAAATCGCCCTGTCTTCTCGAGGTAGGATCGCTTGTTCATTAGACTATATACAATTCAAGCTCACCAACGCATACCATCCTCTTCGAGCGCCACAGCCCTGTATGGTATCCTATCAATCAATCAATCCGGCACTTCGATTAGTAGAAGGCGCTGCCGAACTCCAAACTCCGGGCTGGGAAAAAGTCTCCTCAAAGGAATGACCATACCATACGGCGACCAGCACACAAGCATGCCCAGCATCCGAGCTATATAACATTCTCACCGCGCACATCCTCATATCCCAGGCCACCATGCATCGTGTGGGTGGGCGCCGGCGGCGGCAGTATCCTTTCGGGACTGTACCTGCCCGGGCCAGGGTGCTGCATGACAGGCACCGTTCGAGCCACCCTGTTCTTGAAGCTGTTGCTATGGCTAGCCAGGTTGTTTCCACCAGCACTGCTACCTCCCGCACTGCTGACCTCGTGAAGCTCGTACTCCTCGCCCGCGGTATGTTGATTCCAGGCATTCGTCTGCTGGCTCTTGTCGTCACCACCCAGAGCAACTCCTATATTAATGGGTGGGCTGAAATTAGCCGCTGCGGCCTCGTGTTGGTCCTGCATGGCCTTCTCCTGGGACGAGGAAGGATATCCCTGTGCCATCTGATGAGTGAAGTCCTGTGGCCACTGTTGTGCCATAACCCCGACTGTGCCAGCCGCACTGACGGGGCTGTTGAATTGTGAGGAGTACGGTGAGAAGTACCGCCCGTAGGTTGGCTCGGAAGTCGTGGCTGACTGCGGCGAGTCATCCCACCCGCGAAGAGGCTTCTGGCTTAGTGGCGTCTCGTTCATGTCGGGCCCTCGTTGGACGACACCGCCCATGGCCGGGTGCGGCCATCCCGAATCCTTGTGGCGCATTTCGAGTTTGCGGAGGAATGCACGGCGGCGGCGGCGGCCATTGCAGACGATGAAGAAGCCTGTGACGGCCAGTATGAAGCAGAAACCACCGACAGCAATGCCTACTTTTGCCCCTAGCGAGATGGGACCAAGATCGTCGATGGTCTTCAAGGTGTTCGTAGGGGTTGGTGTTCCCTCAGTCATCAGGGTGGTCGAGAAGATGCCTCCGTTGACGGCCACGGTAGACCCGGGATTAGGCTTCTGGTCACAGCCCACCTGGAGCAGGACCACTAAGTTACCAAGATAGTCATCTCCATCAGTTGATCGCAAGCAGTTCACGCAAGAGTCGACAAAGTCGCTCCAGGCCCAATTTCCGCAGTAGTCGTACGCCCCGACGTTGGTACTGAAGTTGTCATACTGGATTGCATCTTGGAGGGGACCACACGCACGTCTGCAACTTGTGTTAGCAGGACTGCAGAGGAAACGGAGGGAAGTAACAATACACTCACGATGTGATGCACGGACTGTCACCAACGTCGACGTTGCCAGGTTCACCCCACATACAGTAGGAGAGCGCATATCTGGCGTTATATAGCAGCCACTGCTGGTCTGTCTCGTTCGTCTGCGTGTCGTAATATGTGCTGCTCAGTTCGCAGTTCATGCAATTCTTATAGACGATCCCCGCTGCACTGCCATAGTCGTTCTGGTTGCACTCGATGTCCGCGCCTGTCGTTGCGGAAAGGACATTTCCGCACTGGTCGTCGCATGAAGAGCCATCTGTGACCAGTATAGCACATGCGGAGCTGGCTAAGGCCGCGCCCGCGGCCAGCCTCGCCGTTGCGAATCTCATGATATCCAAGTAGGGGCGAAGGCAACGAAGCCGTTTCCGTTGCAGGATGGTTATCAGGTAGCTGCGGGGTCACCCAGGTACAGACTGTTCAACACAAGCGTGGTGTCGTTCGTTATCGCCACATAAGGATCCGCTGCGGTGCGACGGAGTACACGAGCTGGGATCGAAAGGCCAAGTTCCAGACAGCCGTCGCCATGCGGGTCGAGCAATATATGAACCCTCGACAGCACCCACGATAATTTGAGAGAATCTGATGTTGGGTTCTCCTGATGTTGGTGATTGCGACAAGCCTTAGCGCCAAGTTCGCTGTTGTTGGAAGTATGTTCCGTGTCCAGGGTGGAATGGGGGAGCAACGCAACCCAGCTAGGGTGTGATCTGAGGTGACATCGAGAGAGGTGGGCGTGTCGCGTCTATCAAGTCTCCACGATATAGGTATGGAAGGTGGGAAAGGCAAGGCACGCACTCTCGCCTATTGGGGTGAGGTATCATCGGGTGTTTATGACTTTCATACTATGGTATGAGTGGCCTTCCACATTCTTTTCGCTCCGACCCACGACTTGGTTCCCTCAGACAAGCCCATTTTTGAAGCAAATAGCCACTCAGAGCGATGGTCAGCTCGGAATCTCACCTGCAGTAATGTCCCGCATTTGTCCTGTATAGTCAGATAGTGTATGTTAGATGCAAGGTCCCCTGCCCTTATTCACACCCTTCCCGGGGCTTCTTGGTGGGGATCTCATCCTCCTCATCCTTCCCGGCCGTGATTGGACTCGATCCAACTTCCCGCGCTCTGCCGCAAGCGCCAGCAGCAACCCTGTCACACCCAGAGAGGAAAGGCTTTGCCAGAGATGCAGAAGCTGTTTGGGTCTGCGACATTTCATTGGTTTGTACTACATGTGCCCGCATGTGGTCCTTGGCCCACCTGCAGCCACCTGCATCCACTTATCGAGTTCAATGGCCCCCAACCCAAGTTGTCCGATGTTACCTCCAACCTCATTCCGGGTCTCATGATGAGCTTCGTCCCCAGGTCTGGTCCATCACATAAGGCCACGACTTCCGAGCCCCTTGAGTATCGGATCCGGTATCATCAGTCCGTGGCATCATGCTCTGTGGGGACGAATTGGATATAACGGCCGCATCTCCAAATGGCAGGTTGCAACAACGCGCCTCGCTCGCCTTGCTCGCCCCGTTGTTGCAGAACTGCAGTAGCTGAGAAATCCATACCCCATGGGTCCGTGTTCCACAGTCGCATCTCACCCACATCAGTCGAGCCCGAGAGATTGGACATGCCGAGGGATTCGGTTGCCTGTATGCAGGTAGATATCAAGTGATACAGGCTATTGGCCATCGGTTCCGGATGATAGAACCACCCACGTTGAACATCACATCACCAGCAGCCTGCGTAAGCTTAAGCAAGCTCCATTGACCTGCTCACTACCTACCATCTAGGTATGTACAGTAGGCAGGTACATACTTACCTCTTGCAGTCTGGATCCGGCTTGGTCCTGGGCCTTATCCTCCCAGCAGACTTTCAAATTCAAGGCACCATACCAGGTTCAGGTTGTCACAAGAGGGCAGCATCAATTTACAAACACTACGGCTCACCTTGCTTCCAACCACCTAGGTGTATCTTAGCATCCTCAGCATGCTGGATACCTGCCTACATGTATGTATACTTCGTAGGGAAAACAAAGTCCCGCTCTGCCCCTTTTGGCTTCACTTCATTATAGCTCTCACTTGTGTGCATTCTAGATATGATCGGAAAATATACGGAACCTGAAGGGTCCTTCTTTCCAGGTTATTTGGGTTTCTTCTAGTTCCTTATGTGTCCGTATATTGTTCGCCATCTCTATAATCGAGCCTCAGAACCAACATTATCCACAGTCGCAGTGTCTACACAGGCTTCAAGGAGCATTGTAAGCAAGGCTGCCTCTCGGGGACGCAGCCAAAGTGAAAGCGGAAACCTCATTTGCACAGCCAAATGTCGTTTCTGCGTGCAATACACCAGACACGCCGTCCTTCTGTTACGGTCACAAAGTGAGACACTGTGGTGCTGCCTAGCGTCGCAACAGGGGAAAGCAGATGTGTCTTCTCAGTCCTTGACACGCTTGGGTATATTCCTGTAAAAAACATGAAAATTCACAGCAGATAACCTGTCCAATGCGCCGTGCCATGACCATAACACCCTCCTTCACCACTCCAAACCGAAAGAACGCCTGGCTCAATGCAGCAGGGGGCCCAGCTTATGCCTATTATATGTACGACTGAGTGTTCATTGCATCCTGAGACGCCATGGATAGACTTATCCTCCTTCTTCAACCCGGTTTGTCCAGTAGACGACGGCCTGCTCATTGTCCTGTTACTCCAGCATTGACCGCCTACCACGCCACCAATCTGCTTCCTACTAAGCCGATTTCCTTATTTTCGAATTTGGCTCTTCCATGTTGCTTTCCCTTCTGCTCTTGAGTGGTTTTGCTCTGTGACAGCGTTGCTCGTGCATATATCGTCCCAATTTTGCCTTGCTACCCTCGGTTGACCTTGTCTTCCGCCATTCCTTAGTTCCGACTCCTTTGACCATCTTCCGAATGTCAAAGCTTCCTACTCCCGAAATAACTGTTGGTTCTGCTCGCGGTACCAATTTGTCTCATCGTCCAACTCGGCAGCAACTTTCCTCAGCTCGCGCAGAGTCTCTTCGACATCTTGTTGCATGGAACCGACGCCACTGCCCTCCACGGAGGCTTGGGGTGCAACACCACTACCCTGTTTTCGATTACCAAACAGCGTTGCTGTGGAGGCACCAGTCGGCAGTGATTGTGTCATTGTGGCTGGCTTTGGTCTCAAGAAGCTTGGTCGTGGTGGAGATGCTGCATCAGCATCCGACTGGACGCTGGGGGTATTGCGACGGGCTCCGTTCAAGCCTAGACTTGCACGGTAGGCACTATCCTG